CTCAACATGCATATCACAAGATTTTATTCAAATTTTTCAAATAAACCCACAAATATTTTATCCAAACACCTTCTGGGCAAAAGTAGCTCATACAAATTTTCCCCAATTTTACAACTTCAAAATTTTCATAAGAGTAAAATAGGCCCATGGACTTGAGCAACTCTGTGTTTGCCAAATCATAGCTGGTGATCACATGAAATGTGTAACTTTACAAGAGCTGCTGTAACATATGACAACTGACATAAACTGTACCATGGTGTTTGTGCACCGTGTTTACCGATTTGATCATAATGTTTTCAAAAATTTGGCAAGTCTAGCTTAATATAAATTGAACTTGATAAAAAGTGAATTGTGAATTATGAGAACATTTTTTTCCATATTATCTTGGGGATTATGGATTTGAGTCCAAGTTTTTCGTACTACGCACTAGCTTGAATACTGCCTTCGAATACTAAATCAGATTTATGGAAGTAATTCGAAATTTGAAGATTCCGAGTTTATTCGAATAATCGAATAATTCGAAAAATAAGAATTTCAAACCCTTGAATATCGAATGACTTAAAGACGAAAACTTTGAATTTTTGAGCTATTCAGAAATGGGAGATTTCGAACGTTTAAATTTTTAGTTGGAAAGCGGTAATTTTGGACAATCAAAATTCCCACAGATCGAGTTCGATTACTTTATTCGAATACGAAATTCGAATTTAAACTACTCGGAAATGGGAAATTTCAAATGTTCGCATTTTAGTTTGTTTGAAAAGCGGATTTTGGACAATCAATTTTTGAATGATTCGTTCGATTACTCTATACAAACGCTCGAGTAATTATTATTATTGATTTTTCGATTCGCTACATTGTATACTGGTTCGGCTATCAGCCTTTTGGTTAGACGACTGCTCTATTGCTAAAAAGCCGCTCGCATGTAAAGCCCGGCAACTTCTACATGGACATTCACAACTTCCCATATAGTTTTCACAGAACCGGCCTGTCACTTGAATACGTATTCACTGCCAGTCAGTCAGGGCAAAATTCCAATGCACTTTCAGCACAGGGCGGTTTCATCTAATTGCTGCTCACGTTTACTCGTAATGTGTTAACTTTGTGACAGATAGACACCATATAGAAACATTCAACCATAGTAAGCATTTCATTATATTAGTACAAACAATATGGAAAGAGCTAAGATTCTGTGATTACATATGACTATGAGAATAGACTTTGATTCAAATCAACTTTACACATATTTACCAGTTGATTTCTTCAGAAAAAGTTGCAGACAACAGCAAGGCTGGTCTGCCCTCATTTGCTAACGTAGTATAATAGGTAGTCTTTTATCTTTAATAAAAGTTTCCGCAAGTATCAAACTCATATCTCTTGCAATTCTATGTCATCGGAAAGAGGAAAATTATGAAGAAAAATCTTTCCTTACACGTCTCCATCGTACTCTAAATTACAATGTTCGAAAAAAAGGTTCTTATCAGGTTGTCATCCCATCCATTACTTTGAAGCTGCTTGATTACCTGGGTCTATGTTGGAACTTTCCAAAGTATATAAAAGCTGACCAACATCCTATACTAAATTCGTCCTCTGCTAATTTTTCCGTAATTTATTCCGTTACGGATTTGACTCAAAATAATCTGTGCTTGACGCCAAGCATTTGACTACTCTGCTTAACGCGCCCGGAAATCACGGCAAAAAAATAGCGATGCGTTGTTTCAAATGTCTTAAACATGAATTCAAAAAGTCTGATAAAGAATAAATTATGTAGAAAAATGGGATGGCAGGGTTCAGCAATATGATGCCAGTAATAATGGTTCATGCATTCATATTGATTAGTGTGAAGTAAAAATAGTCTGAAACTTTAGAAGTTTCGGGAAATTTCTGAGACAGCCCAATGTTCGAAGTGTAAATATTGTCAGCCAAAACGTGAGAAAGAAATTTGTGACCACATCAGATTACTTGTAATGAAATTCTAGAAAATAAAATGAGTAATTATACATTCCTATAAATGAAAAGTGCATACATACCTAGCATTGTCAGCAGCTTTGCAATGTGGATGATGATTCTGTGGTGTCAACTGGTGACTGGATACCGACTCCAGTAGTTTCTTCTTTCTCTGATGCAATACATTCTTTCTTCGAGGACGCTGCATGCACATCAAGAGAGGCAGCCACTGAAGACCATATTTTCATTAGCGTTTGCCCCTATTATATGTAATGACAAGTGTAGCTCACATCGAGAAAGACAATTCGCACCCATGGCGGTAATCGATGAGTAATGGGAGATCGAAAGTAGATGTTGCAAATGACCACGGTGACCAGGATTGTGATGATGTTGAGCACAAAGGTGAGCAGGAGGTACTTGGCAACTAGTGGAATAGACGAAGATGTTGGCGGCAAAATCTTTGACACTAGCAGGAGGAACACAACGATAGACAGCAGCACATTCATGGTCAAACCCATCTTTTCACCTGTAGAAGAAAGTAGCTTGACCGCCTAGTAGTTGATGTTCGTAATCGCTAAAGAAGAATTTAAAACCTCACCTGAAGCAGTAGGCAGATAGAACACAGTGACATTCAAGAAAGCCATTAAAACAGTGGGTAAAATTAAAACAACAGTGTAAAACAATGTTTTGCGCCTATAAATTGAGAACTCCAAGCAAAACGGAAAGACGGGAAAAGCAGGAACGCACCTGATTCTAACTTGAAATTCAATCCGACTTCTGTCCTCTGTAAGTACAGCTGGAGCATCCATCATGTCCCAAATTGAAGATGTTGCATACTCAGAGAAATCGACTCGATCCGCATGTAGAAAGTCCAATTTGACCTCATCCCGATTATACTGAATGCAATTGCATTGATGTATCAGTATAAGCTATCAATTTAAAGAAATGTCTCAGTATGGAGTCCTTCCAACACTTCAATTTCTCTCCCTGTACTATTCCACTTCCCCTGATCCGTAAAAATTAGAAATACTGGATTACGTTTAGACTTCGGCCGCAAGAGAAGGGCGGTGGGCGGAAGGGGGAGGGAGAGGGGAGGGAAAATAATTTCACATGGTATCGCGAAAATCGTATCCGTTCCGCATTGTAGTGCTTTTTTATTTGGCCCTTCATGCTTATTTTATATTCAAGTTAAGGCGTTGCCATGTTGAATGGATATGATATTTGTAATGAGCTTGTCAAATACCCTTTAGGTCACCCTTGCTAAATCTTGATTCCGACCCTCTACCATCCACACTTCCACGATAAAGCGCTACCATATGGAACAGACATAATTTTCGTGATCAAACCTCTAATAACCCTCACAAAGAAAAATTCAGCAAAATCTAAAGTTTTGAGTTTTGGTCGGAGAAAATTTGCTCCGCTTCCTAATTCCCCTTTTATCAATAGCAAGAGAAATTATGACTTACTGTCCAACTACCAAATGTAAGGCTGCACCGCTGATCGTCGAATGGAAAGAACTCGACATCTGA